GTATTTTTTGTTCAGTTTCTGTCGTTGATACCTAAGAAATTGCCTATACAAGTAATTTTTCTTGCAAGCGTTTACAAGGCCTCTTGTTTTAACCATGAATTTTGTGTGCTTTCTTGTGCACTTTTTGTTGACAGTGCTTATCATAAAGTTGAGAAATGTCAAGAAAACAAATTGGTAAGCTCCATTTACATTAAAAAAAAAGACATTGAAAAATAGGATCCCAGTTTTTGCCTCGCTAGATCATGCTTTTAAATGCTAAAAAGATTGTTCTGTTGTAAACTCGTTGAAAAAAGACCCTTTTACTGTTTGGAAATATTGCTGTTGACATCATACATCATGAAGACCGGTAATGATCACTCACATCATTCACAACCCCACCTCCAGTTAACTTTCGTCTAAAATTGTTGCAGAATATATTGTCTATAAGAGTTGGCACTATGAATGTGATTCTCGTGGTCCTGCTGAATAAGTGGGAACAAGCCCAAGAAAACAGGTGTCAATAAATTCCTCTGTATGTACATGGTTTATATTAGAATTTAAAAGTTTTATGTTAAAGTCTCCGCATATGATAAATTGTTTGTTTTCTATTATTAAAGTATCTTTTCCATCCATTCCCTCAATAGTTTCAAGTCGGATCCTGGTGTCCTAAACGCAGCCTTACAATAATTTTTTCTTGTTTGGAATTGCTAGATCCTATCGTGACACACTCTAAAAGTCATCTATCGCTAAACACAAATCATTTACTATAGAACAGTTCATGTTTTTGTCCACGTATAGAGCCACTCCCCTCCTCACTTGTGTTGCCGGTTTGTACAGAACATTCATAACCCCTCTAATTCAAAGTCACTCACACTATTCTCTCTTACCACGCTCCGAAATACCAATTATATAATAGGTGACTAAATTGGTTCAAGAGTCCTGGATGCCTTCAAAATTGCGTATAAACTCCCTGCGATTAAAATGAACAAGAGATATACATTTTTCTTGCATGAATCTTTTCTCAAATGTGATGTTTGTATAATATAGACACTCAGTGTTAGTATTTTGAAAGGATTTTTTTTATCAGGAACAATTTCATGCATAAAGCTTTGTGATTCTATAATTCAAATGGTCAGAAAAACTAATAGGCTCCAAGTTATTTCAGATCTTCATCCTCAGTTCAGAAGAGCCTTCGCAATCTCAACTATACATGTAGTATTTCAGAGACATGAATAAAGAGAGAGGGTGCATGGGTCATAAAGTGAGGGGCCCAAAACACACAGACACACAGCCACATGACCATGAAAACTAACACAAGTTCACTCCACACAGAACTAGAGGAAAGCAACAAAGACTCAATTTTATAACTCTTCAACCCAAAACATGTGATAATAAACTCAACAAACAACATTAATGGTAAAACATAGGATGATCAAAAAAAATAGCAGCAATAAAAATTGTCTCTTACCAAATAAAAAGTTGAGGAGGATGTAATCAGAATGACAGCAAGCTTTCAGTTAAAAAAGAAACAGGTGTGAGCTATGTGTTACTAATGGTGACAGACCCGTATGTGAATATTCAAATCACTTTACAATAGAATCAGTTAATATGTGGCTGTAACCGAACATCCACACTATATCCTATCCACACTGTCACTAATGGTGCGGGACTATACACCGTGAAACCTGAGTGCTCAAATTAGTCAAAAAAAAAGATTAGTGTAGAATTAAAAATAAATAAATTGTACGACTTTAATTACATTAATTAGTATTCAACATCCAAATTTTCAGTGCAAAGAAATTATTTATTTAATTTCTACTAATATAATACTTTTAATTAACCATAAATAATATTAGTTTATTACTGGATCTACTGCCTTTATCAAATTTCGATCGAATTATTTGTTTTACATAATATGATAAGAAAGTGCTTAGGTAGACGTATACAATCACTGAAAAAAAAACAGGCTACACAAGTCTACCCCAGTGCATCATAGATCACTTATGATAATAAAATATCGTTTTAAACCAAATAGTATAAATGTAGAGTAAGTGGCACCATTCGTTCCCAGAAGCAATTAAAAATGACTAGGGCTGTCAAACAATAAAAAAAATTGAGTATAAATACACATAGTAATGGTGAGTTGAACGCACGATATCACATTTTTTTACAATCTATTTCAAATCCACTCCAATTGAAGTTAATGAGATATCAATGTAATGGCACATTGTTATTCATACCAAAATGTAACTTAAATCTGGTAGAACTGGCTCACAACCTTCACTTTTTGTACAACCAACAAAAGCTGTTAATGAAAGGGAAAATGTAGGTACCTCGACACTATTTAAATTTCCTCCCAATTGTCCAGCTGTTTCTGATGATGTTTTACTAGAATAAATTCAGCATTTTAGTCTGTAGTAAATTTCACACGGAGGATCTTTATCACCGGATCGCCATCACCGCCTTAAAAGTGGATCTCTTCCATCTCTATTCCCCTGAATAATTTTATGCACCACCTAAGAGGAGTCCTGCATTCCAGACAGGGCTCAGAAACGACAGCTTGTCTTCAGAGCAAATTAAGCCAGGCAATTATGCGGCATATCCCCCCCAGTAACATAAGTATTCATTCATGTACATTTTTTGATTCTAGCTTATTTTTGAATAATATTATTCTATGAATCAAACTAAAAGATAAGTGCGCAGTGTCAAAACATGTTTGGGACCAAAATCAAAGGTTTCAAATTAAAGCAGGTAAAATGGTGTGGGGAAGCCCTGGTCTCCAGGGGGGCGGCCTGGATCTCCAGGGTGGGTTAAGGTTAGGTGTGGAAGAAGCCCTGGACCTCCAGGGGGCAATTGCAGCGTGGGGCGGCCGGATCTCCATGGGGTTTACGGTTAGGTGTGGAGAAGCCCTGGACTCCAGGGTGGCTATGTGCAGGCGGGGGCGGCCTGGGATTCTCCATGGGGGTTAGGTTAGGTGTGGGAGGTGCCTGGACCCTAACCCTAACCCAGCTCTGACCCAGGACTGAGGCAGGTAGAACCCAGGGCTGAGTTTGTAGACCGCAGGACTGAGCTTTAGACCCATGATTGAGGCTGTGGGACCCAGACTGAAGCTCTGGAACCCAGGACTGAGCTATAGACCCCAGGGCTGAGGTTGTAGACCCAGGACTGAAGGTTTTAGACCCAGGGCTGAGGCTGTAGACCCAGGGACTGAGGCTATAGACCCCGGACTAAAGCTCTGACCCAGGACTGATGTTTTAGACCCAGGGCTGAGGCTGAAAACCCAGGACTGGGCCTATAGACCCAGGGCTGAGTCTGTAGACCAGGACTGAGTTGCTAAAGACCCAGGGCTGAGTCTGTAGATCCATGACTGAGCCTGTAGACCCAGGCTGAGCTGTAACCCAGGACTGAGGCTGTAGGACCCAGACTGAGCTGTAGACCCAGGACTAAAAGCTCTGGACCCAGGATGAGGTGTAGACCCAGGACTGAGGTTTTAGACCCAGGACTGAGGCTGAAGACCCAGGACTGAGGCTGTAGACCCTGGACTGAGCTCTAGAACCCAGGACTGAGGCTCTAAGACCCAGGACGAGCCTCAGACCCAGGACTGAGCCTTTTAGACCCAGGATTGAGGCTGTGGAAGCCCGGAGCTGAAGCTTATTAAGATATTCTGCAACACTGTAATTTCTCCACTATGGGATGAATAAAGGTTCTCTTGATATTAATTTAGCAGTCTCTCCACACCAAGAGGTTACTAGCAAAAACAAGAGAAAAACAAACATATCAACTATGTTCACCAATGGATCTACAGTATGTGCCAGAGCTTACCCAGACAATACACCCTCCTTTTTCGGGAAAAAAAACCCTCAACATTGAATGAATTTGCTCAAAAAGGGGAGTACTGATAGATTTGTTTTTGGTTTTGGTTTTCACATATTTTTCAAATGATATATCGTTTTTTGCAAATGAAGCAGACAGAGACACATGTTATATCTTATCATGTTTTTAACCTCCATAAAGACTTTTAGACTTGTTATTAGCCATGATGTCATCCAGGTTTACAAATTCTAACCATGTCACAACATTGTTCCCTTGACAAAAAAAAACCTGGAGTTGTTTTTAGATCCGACCACAACCACTAAGCCACTGTGCCACCCGTATCACTACCCATTTACTCTGCACACGACTGCACATAATATAACACGCAAAATTGTATTCTGGATTTTGATTTATTGTATTGTTTTCTCTGCACTGCTGTGTGTTGGATGGGTGAGAGGGGTTTGGATATAATATGTCTGCAAGTTCGAAATGTAAATTAAAAACAAATCTGATTAACTCCCTCTGGTGGTTGCAAAGGGAGATACAGGCGGAAAGCATATTTTTTACACTTGATACTTTTTTCCACTATATAAATTCTCCTTAAGATATATTCTAAAACAATAAATGATCATGAGTATGTACATCTCATTATCATTATTTATGGCTAAAAATAAGGAACAATATTTCTTCTTTAACCAAAAATGGAAAATTCACTAACCCAAATGACAAATCCATAACTGCATAGTAGAACAGAGTAGGCTCTCATAAATAGACAGATGGACAGATAGATACTTTATTGATCCCCATATGCAGGTGTCCAGCAGCAGAAGCACATCATCCATACAAACAAATAAATACATAATTTTGAATGCTTTATTAGATTTTTCCTATCTCCAGTGGATTTATGCTTCTTGATCTGCTTGGTTGGGACCGTGCATCTTCTCTGCTCTGGTCTAAATCAGAGTAAAACTATGAAAAATGAACTGCAGTAATCTTACAGCTACAAAAACTCAGGAGAATGAATGACTTGTAAAGCACAACAGAACAATTTCAGAGCGTCTTAGAACTTGCTGTCGTTTCCGGTGCATTCATAGAAGGTTGGTCTGAGTTTGTTGTTGCGTTGTTTGGTCCCGCAGCCTTCGGGGAGCGACGAGCCGACGCTGGACGAGCACGAGGAGAGAGAGAGGCTGCGCAGAGTTCTCAAACAGATGGGACGAATCAAGTGTCCCACAGAGGTACGCACGCCCACTCCTAAAACTTTCCCCTTTCCCCTCTCTCGCTTAGGGCTGGGTTACCTGAGCGCACACACTCAATGGAGGAAGTAAACAAAAGCAGGTCTTACTGTAACTGTAATGAAGGAATAATCAAACTCAATTTCAGACTCGTTTTTCACCTCAACAGATCGACCCACGAAACTCGAGTTCAGAGCCAGATGCCTTGCGTTTTTGTTACAGCTCGTATTCATTTTTTTGTAAGGGTATACTGTTTCCATTCCCCTGTTTGCAACGGGCTTTAATTCAATTCAATGTATTTTTGTACAGCCCTAAATCGTGTCATAGGGCGTGTCATTGAAATTGTAGATTCACCAACAACAGATAAGAGAATCAAACAGTTCAAACATAGGAAATGCCATAGTAACCAAACAGGTGGGTTTATTTATTTATTTGAGAAAGGAGGAACAATACATATTAATGAACATTTTCACAAATGTAAATAGGCTCATTTCCATCTGCAGACCCCTGGCAGGTTGATGTTACAACACAAGTTAGTTAAGACATACAGAGAACCTATTTACAGACTATATACAGAGAGACAGGGACAAAAACAGTTATTGCATCATGTTAGAAACAAGCAACAAACAAGCAAGAGTGGACAACAAAGCACAATGTAGAAAACAGTAACGGAAACACATCACCCGAGTATGCCAGTGATTATCCGGGACATTTATGGTAATTTATTGACATTTATGGACCTTATTCATCTGCTCCCTATGGACCAATGGCTTTTATGCGTTTGTTATTATTGTATTTCCTGTGTTTGAAGTGGTTCTTTCTCTGACCTGCTTTGGAATTGTCAAGTCCTGAGAGACGACTGTTGTTGTCATTTAGGGCTGTACAAAAATACATTGAATTGAACCAAATCCTTAAAATTATGCAATAAGTAAAATGATTTCATTTTCAGAGAAGGTCATTTGCAGCTTGTTGATCTTCCTTTACTATCGGGAGGAACAGAATATACACACTTCCAGGAAAAAAAAGAAAGTTGGGTACCTTTTATTTGAAGCTTACATCTTGGAGGGAAAATTATAAAAGTGAATTGCAATTGCAAATAGGGCTTCTATAATGATACCTAAGTAAAAATTGAATAAAAAAAAAATAAATAAATTAAGTTCTTTCTTTCACCTGGTAAAACTTGTTTTTGGAAAATATCCGGTCTGAGTCTTGGGTCTGAGTCAAAAAAATGTTTTGTTGTTATTAGTTTATTTTCTACACTATTATATTTGTCATTGTATTTTTTTTTTGAAAGAAAGACTGAGCTAGGACAATGTTTTGAGAGTAATTCAGTTTTTAATAGATATTTTTTCACTGGTTCTTTAAACATCACTGGGTGTCTGTATAGTAACACTACTTTCACCAGGCTTTTACAATACTCCTTATCCACAGTAATTGGAAACATGATTGCTCTGACTGTATATCTCGAGTGGCTTTATCTTTTGATTCTTTTATGAGGTTGTTGCATACAGTAACAAAGTGATATTGTTATAAGCATAGGCCTCTTTCCCCTGCTCATATCCGAAGCAGTTCAACGACTGTATAATTTATAAAGCCTCCTCTGACATCTTAGCGTTGTAGGCCACATGTCACTATAAAGCCTTACCCTTTCCCCATGGGGCCGGAACAATGAATATTCTAGTTACGCTTATTACTGGAGTGTTTTCTTTGTGTCTATCATTTTATTTTTACAGTTGGGCTAACTGTCTGTCGTGACTGATTTTCTCCACCTGCCACTTCCAATTCTGTAACTCCCACTCCTCAGGCATTTGCTATTTCAGTCTGTTTTCCCCTCGCGTCTTGTTGCTGAACCGTGGCCCAACACCACTGCTTCTTCTTGCGGATACACTATTTTCAGCTGTATTTGACTATTGTATAAAATTCTCCCCCTTTGTGCTATGAGACGGTACTGATTTGTTTATATTGGTTGAATGTATCCCTATATAGTATCATTTCTGACTTTATTATGGTAGCCTTAGCCATCTGTAAACTACGGTCAATGGTCATTTCCCTACATGTAGGTCTGGGTCTGATCTTTAGTGGCTGCGGTTACCGCTGTTGAATCCCCTCCGACCATTCAGCGAGCGGGGGAGGGGGGTGTTGTAGGTACCGGTAAGTGTAAGAGTTTGCACCAAATTTGCTGGTCGTTAGTTTGGCAATGGTAGCGAATGCGATAGTAAATGTGATCTGCAAAAATACAGAAAAAAAACACACAATATACATTTCTGATGTGACCATATTTAATTGGCTGAGATCCCAGTGGTGGGACTGAATACAGAAGTAAAATGTAGATATATTTAAGTGTGCAGTAAGTTGATGTCTTTGAAGAGGACAAATGCTAGATTGGTGACAGGTGATGTTGGGTTTGGGTGACGGATAGAGTTGGGGGTGGAAGTGTTAAAATGTCAAAAGTTAGGTACTCCAGCTTGAACACCTCTCTTACTTTGCCTTGACAGGGATGCTCAGCCCATTTCTCCAGCCTGATGGGATATCAGTACCACCAGAAGCGATGTGGACGGGACTCTTCTGAGGATGACAAGCCTGTGTTTGTCTGCCAGCACTGTGGGAAATCCTATCGTTCAAAGGCTGGGAAAGACTACCACATTCGCACAGAGCACTTGAGTCTGAACACAGACACCAACAACAACACAGGAAAAGAGCGGGTATGCTATCAAGATAAGATAAGATAGACTTTATTGATCTCACAATGGAGAAGTGTACATTCACAAGTCACATTGGCCTCTGTCAGGGTGTGAGAAAAAATATGAAATGATAGTCCCTTTTGTGCAAGATATGTTATGTACGATATAATTAAAGGTGGCTATAGCAGAGTGAGTCCTGCTGTAGGTCATTAAGCGACTAATTGTGCGGTATGACAGCAGTGGGGATATTGAAGATGGTAAAAGATGTATATGTATCAATAGATGGTTTGAGATGGAATTTTCACTAGACAAGACACATGATTGGCTTCAATTTAACTGGATCATCTCTGGTTCATTTGGGGAAAAATGCTTTATTTGTGGATGTACAGTGTCTTGCGAAAGTATTCGTAGTTGAACCTTTCAACATTTCGCCACATTTCAGTCTTCAAACATAAAGATATAAAAAAAGTAGTTTTTGTCATGAATCAACAACAAGTGGGACACAATCGTGAAGTGGAACGAAATGTATTGGATAATTTAAACTTTAAAAAAAAATAAAATACTGAAAAGTGGGGCGTGCAATATTATTCGGCCCCTTTACTTTCAGTGCAGCAAACTCACTCCAGAAGTTCAGTGAGGATCTTTGAATGATCCAATGTTGTCCTAAATGACTGATGATGATAAATAGAATGTACCTGTGTGTAATCAAGTCTCCGTATAAATGCACCTGCTCTTTGATAGTCTCAGGGTTCTGTTTAAAGCGCAGAGAGAACCATGAAGACACAGGAACACACCAGGCAGGTCCGAGATACTGTTGTGGAGAAGTTTAAAGCCGGATTTGGATACAAAAAGATTTCCCAAGGTTTAAACATCTCAAGGAGCACTGTGCAAGCAATTATATTGAAATGGAAGGAGCATCAGACCACTGCAAATCTACCAAGACCCGGCCGTCCCTCCAAACTTTCATCTCAAACAAGGAGAAGACTGATCAGAGATGCAGCCAAGAGGACCATGATCACGCTGGATGAACTGCAGATAACTACAGCTGAGGTGGGAGAGTCTGTCTATAGGACAACAATCAGTCGTGCACTGCACAAATCTGGCCTTTATGGAAGAGTGGCCATTTCTCAAAGATATCCAATAAAAGTCTCTTAAAGTTTGCCACAAGCCACCTGGGAGACACACCAAACATGTGGAAGAAGGTGCTCTGGTCAGATGAAACCAAAATCAAACTTTTTGGCCACAATGCAAAACGATATGTTTGGCATAAAAGCAACACAGCTCATCACCCTGAACACACCATCCCCACCTCAGCTGTAGTTATCTGCAGTTCATCCAGAGTGATCATGGGCCTCTTGGCTGCATCTCTGATCAGTCTTCTCCTTGTTTGAGATGAAAGTTTGGAGGGACGGCCGGGTCTTGGTAGATTTGCAGTGGTCTGATACTTCTTCCATTAGTGATGGCAATATGAAGCCCCATGAAGCCTTGAGGGATAGCAGCCTATTACTCGGCCCATGAGTCGAAGGCTCGAGGTGAATCATGCTCCACTACGCCATCATGTGGACAAAGAAATACATAACACTCTTAAGTGCTTACAATGAATGGTGAGATCTAATGTTAAAATGTATATTTACAATCTATGGTCTAATGTGTTGTGTTTGAAATGATGCTTGATGAACTATGAACTATTTGAGTCTTTCAGTCAATTGTGTTGATACAACAAACACATCCAAAGTAATACAGTTCTACAGAAAGTGATGAATGGAGAAAAAACTACCAAGTGGTGGATTAATTAAACACAACAAACTATTTATTCCCAATAAATAAATACATTTACTTTGCAACACAAAATTTATTACGGGTAGACTGGGATTCGAACGCTATATCTTCTACTTCGGAGTCCGTCATAGACCAACTGCGCCACACAGCTGTTGAGAAATGTATCATCCAGCGTATTATTACTAATAACTTGAAGCCTTGATATATGAGGTTTTACTGAAGTGAAACGTTTTTAATTGTATTTCATATGAAGTAGTTTCTCTATACTTCGTACAGGACTGCTCCACATCACGCACACACACGTACGCACACACACACACACGTACGCACATAGAGGCAGACGGGGACAGCCAATACAGTCTATGGTACAGCCGCGGATCACAAAGCACCTGTCAAAGCAATGCACTCTCCGAACTATATGAAGCACTATATGAACCGTCACGTGGTGTGGGCGCTACGCGAGGCTTCGAACGTCACCACATACGTCACCAACACACGCCTCGAACCACGCTTCAAAAAATACGCCCCTTTTTTACTCGGTACATGCTTCGAAGACCCGGCACGCTCAGCACATCACTACCTTCCATTTCAATATAATTGCTTGCACAGTGCTCCTTGAGATGTTTAAAGCTTGGGAAATCTTTTTGTATCCAAATCCGGCTTTAAACTTCTCCACAACAGTATCTCGGACCTGCCTGGTGTGTTCCTTTGTCTTCATGGTTCTCTCTGCGCTTTAAACAGAACCCTGAGACTATCAAAGAGCAGGTGCATTTATACGGAGACTTGATTACACACAGGTGCATTCTATTTATCATCATCAGTCATTTAGGACAACATTGGATCATTCAAAGATCTTCACTGAACTTCTGGACTGAGTTTGCTGCACTGAAAGTAAAGGGGCCGAATAATATTGCACGCCCCACTTTTCAGTTTTTTATTTGTTAAAAAAGTTTAAATTATCCAACAAATTTTGTTCCACTTCACGATTGTGTCCCACTTGTTGTTCATTCATGACAACAAATTTAAATTTTATATCTTTATGTTTGAAGCCTGAAATGTGGCAAAATGTTGAAAGGTTCAAGGGGGCTGAATACTTTCGCAAGGCACTGTAAAACCACCAAACAAGTGAACCAGGCTTGATCCAGTTAAAATGAACCAACCAACCGATTCAGATTCAGTGTATTTGTCATTCGCAGTGAAACCACATTGTAATACATGTGCAAAAGAAACCAGGTCCAGTAACAAGTCCAAGATCAACAGTCAACAATTGAGATCACAAGATAACATAATTTAGAGACACAATATTTTAGAGCTGGAAGTTACACTATTTTTCTGTGGTTAATCATACTAACTTTAAAGCTTCATTATTCATCCTCATTAAAACTGTACTGAAAGCACAAAAGCACAAGTCAGCAGTTGCTAATAATGGACTCCAGACACGCCTCCCCAGGCAGACAGTATTGTATTCCAGAGAATGGAAATTGGCGTTGTAAGAATTAATTATGTAAACCACACTCTACGGTTACTAAAAATAGACTTTAATGTCATTGTGGAGACATCTAGAGACACATAGTACTGTAACAGAGACTCGCTTTGTACAAAACCCAGAGAGAATAAAGTCTATCATTTATGACTTACCCATTTAGATACAAGATAACTGAAGTGATAGTCAGAGGCAAATAGTAAACAATATTTGCCATGGTGACAGGGCAGAGAGACTTGAAACAGCAATGCAAAAATGGCTAATCCACCTCCAGCCCTTTCTGTGTTGAGTTTGCATGCTCTTCCCGTGTCTTTAGTGGTTTCTCCTACGACAAAAAACATGCTCAATAGGTCTGAATGAATTGTGATGGTCAGAGGCTTCGGTGTCTCACTTCTATCATCACCATGTGTGGAGTGAATAAAAATTACAGATATACCAAAATTGTAAAGTGCTTTGGTTGACCTTGGTCTGTGAAATGCGCTATATAGAAAGCTTCAGGTTAGCCTCCTCAGCTGTCTGTGCTAACCAGAGATCTGAGGGTTTTCTCAAGAAAGTGGGGGCCAGTGGTCTGCTGTGATTGGTCACAATCTGGTCCCGAAACAAACTCGATCTAAAATAAAATGACACGCCAGCACAAACCAGCGCTACTTATTCTTCCAAAGGACGTATATCCCAATGCATTGCATGGATATGGATTGAATTTTCCTAATGAATACAAAAATAAAGTGATGTAATGCAGCTTTAATTAATGTTGTGCTTATTTTTGTTATTTGTCTCTTGCGTTTCAATGCAGAATGCAATTTTAGGTGAAAGATAAAAATATTGCAATAATATCATTATCGCAATACTAAACACTCATATCAAATTGGATTAAACCCAATCCAATCCCTTTTCAAACCACGCACAGATTTTCTTCTTTTCTCTTTCTATGTGAATAATTGTCTGTATATCTAGTGCATGTTTGAAATACATAAACACCACATCAACTCAACCAAGCCCAAATAATAACCCATCATATTTACACATTTCTTTTAGGACTCTGAGAAACCACCATCGGGGCAGAAGAAGGAGCACAGCGTCCCTGAGAAAAGGGACTGGCCGATTGACAACGCCGCGGTCCAAGCGAAGGACAAGCAGAAAAAGCCTCCAGTGAAGGACAGAGATAAAGAGAAGAAGGTCACGGTGCAGCCCTCTCAGAACAGCTCCAGTTCAGCTCCGGATGACCTCGAACGCACCCCCAGCGGCAGAGTGCGACGCCGATCTGCGCAAGTCGCAGTTTTCCACCTTCAGGAGATCGCTGAAGACGAACTGGCCAAGGACTGGGGCACGAAGAGACGCATCAAGGACGATCTGGTGCCTGACACTAAACGGGTGAGGAAAGAGTACATCCTCTGTGTTTATAGGCCAGAGGAGATTAAGATTATGCGTCCCAGAGTGGGGAAATGTCACTGTTTTTTCACAAGTTACATGAAGAGCACACAACACAAGAGAAGTGAATGTTAAAGGTACTTTGTGTAATTTTTGTAGTTGCTCCAAATGAAAAAAACATGTTAACCAATAACAAATGTGACCTTTTTTTAAGAATATTTACTGCCATTATGTTTTTGAATTCTTGTCATAGGCTTAGAATTTGACTTATAAATGTCCATGTGGCTGGGGGACTCTACATGTCAATGCGCCATCTTGAAATACAGTGGTTGATAAGGGACAAAAACAGTTTGACCGAGAGTTGGGGACCACTGTCAAAGACTGCATATTTATTGTCCTGCGAAGCTAAAATAGTCCCGTAGATTACAATATATGATCTCAACAATACATTGGGAGTAACTAAAATCTCTATCTCTTGCTTAATAAAGAAAAAATGCGAGATACTATAGTGTAAGAAATGTATACTTGTGACGCCCCCTGTATGTGAAATCCAGATTCTGTCCGCCTTATGAAGCTAAGCAGGGTAGCGCATGTTTAGTACCCTGATGGGAGACCTCTGGGAACACCAGGTGCCACAGTGGGGCGGCTGCGGCTGTAAAGTGACAGTCCTTCTCCCGCATTGCCTAAAATGAGTTTGGTGTGTGCGCAAATGGTGGGTGGTGGTCGGAGGGGCTGGCGGTACATACTGGTTGTCTCGCTTTGTCAGTGTGCCCCAGGGCAGCTGCGGCTACAGTAGTGTCTTTCAGTCTCCAAAAAAGCGCTATATAACAAAACTGATGCATTATCATATTCTTGTACATATCCATCTATAGACAAACAATATGGCCTCAATTTGGCTTCTCCCTCAAATTGGTCAGACCACTCACGTCTCAATGTACAACTTCAAAGAAGCTCAACGTAAAAAAAACACAAGCTATTCTATTTCCTCTGTGTTACGTTTTGCAGGCAAACTTGTTGGTTTCACTTCACATCAAAACCATAACTATGAAACGTCATGCTTTTAAGTTTGCGGTGCAGGGACTCTCGAGGTAAAACTACTTCTGTACTTCAATGTACAATGTGAAACTAAAAAATATTGAGAGTGAGACATATTTTATTTATTGTAATGTTAACCTCAGCTTTTGAAAACCCCAAAACATGCACACACTTTTTGTATTGTATTAAGTCTATATCATATGTTGTTTAAATAACAGGATTGAATGATTTTTTTGAAGAGGATTTTTTGAAGATGATTCTAATTTTCCAAGTCTCTCCTGTGCATACATAGCACATACATCCTTACATATTCTTACATATCTGATATTAGCATGACTGTTAATGTAGTATCATTATCATTATCACCAGCGGTACACACTTGACTGGGTGAATTGGGTGGCATCTCTGACTTCCACCCGCCCTCCCCTAACCCGACCCTCCTCAACCCAGAAATGGACTGAATGGAAGATGGATGGATTTGATGTTTCCATTTGTTAATGCTCTATTCTCTCTCCTCCCATGTAAACACGGCGAGGACACACGATCCACTTTGGAATGCTCTGTCCGTAAAATGATTTCTTCTTGTCGTCTTTTTTAGTTAAACTACACTCGACCGGGTCTTCCTCACTTCAGCACTGAGCTTTTAGAGTCGTGGAAGAACCAAGTGAAGGAGAAGGGCTTTATCTGCTGCATAAATGAAGTAAGCAAAAAGTGAATTTGCTTGTTCTCCCTGTGTCTGGTTCTAATAAATGAACTTGTGCTTTAATGTGACAGTATTGATCTTGGATTGAATGTTTATGGATTCAATTTTTTATTATAGTATTTTCTTATACTTTTTAAGTGAGAAATACCTTATTATATAAATGTGTGTTATCAGTTTTGGGCAAACAAGACATGTTTAGCTTGTTCCATTACCCAATATGATTTTTAAAAGTCAAAATATATTTGAATCAATAACAAACCACCGAAGCACTTTTAATCAGTGACTGTTTTTATTGAATTATTTAAGCTGTATATTACTTATGGAAAATAATAATCCATTGGTTGCAAACGAACCTCAATATTATGGTAATTAGTCACACAAAAAACCTTGCGCAGGAAGGAACTCGACAGTTGCCAGATATGAGTCACTACAAGCTTTTGAAACCCACTTGTTTGTGTCCGTTGTATTTGGTTTCGCATCTTCAAACCTTATGAAACTAACTCACGTCACTCTCTTTTCTCAGAACTGTGAAGCTGTCTACTCCAGCGTCTCAGGACTAAAGGCCCATCTCGCCAACTGCAGCCAGGTACCGGCGCTGCTCACGAACGTAATCTTTACAGGACGGTAGTGGAAGCCCAGTCTCTGATTGGCTCTGTCCTCTTGTGTCCTGTATTGGTTATTGAAAGGGGAGTTGGGATAGGGAGGTATTTGGCAGTCACCTGCAGGGTAATCATTTATTTATGTATGAATTAATTTGGTTGGGACAGTGCATGTTAAAGATGGCATACAAACTTTTTTCATACCTATTATACAATATACACACTATATATATATTGTGCCGTCAACAAATCAGACGAACACAAGCTGCCTCCATCTTGTTGAAATTTTTTTATTATTCACTTCTTTTTTTTCACTTCTCTGTCTTTAAAAGCTGGGCTAAAATTACAATAGAGCCCAAACAAATGCATGCGTGTGAGAACTAGAGGTAGAACCAACATATTTGGTTTAGTTTTGAGAATGTGGAACTAGATAGAATTTAATACATAATCCATTCTTTTGTGGTTTAAAAGTTTGGCACCTCAGCTTTCCTGGAATGTAAACACCCGATTACAGAAAATTTCCGTCTCTGGGATAAAAATGGGGCTATAATACAATTGCAACAAATGAAATGGGAGTTGGCTTTCTACTCAGTGCCACCGACACAGACACAGTGTTATTGATCAGTCCATTTCCACATTCATTATTCACTTCCTTAAACAGTCCACAATGTTGAGGCTCCATATTACTGCACACCATCCAACCATCATTGCTGCAGCGCCTCTCAAAAGTACTATTACAGCTTGAACTTTTGCATATTTTGTCATGTTTACCGTAAGCAATCTTGGTAAAACTTAACCTACTTTCACAATTCAAGTTATAACAGAATCATGTATCATTTTACTTCCACTGAACGTTCAGTAAATCTATCAAAATAAAATTATTTGTTATATGTATTGCAGGGAGGAGGAGAGCTGGGCAAGTACACGTGTCTCATCTGCCAGAAGGAGTTCAGTTCAGAGAGCGGCGTCAAGTACCACATCAACAAGACGCACTCACAGGTGGGTCATCGTCGGTGATAAACAAAAGCTACAAAGAAAGATAAAGGAACGATAGAACACAATCTGCAGATGAGTGGGATTTCCTTGTCTCATCGATCTCCAAAACCTCAGGCTGTCATAGTCAATCACAATCATTACAATTGCAAGTGTTGAGGTTTAATATGGAGCAAATGTATTCTGTCAATATATATTTGTGTGTGTGTGTGTAGTATATACTGTAGTTATTTCATTGTAAAGCTAGGTCTGTGAAATTCACTGTATAAATAATTATTACTTACACGCGATGCAACATTGTATCCATCTGTAAAAAACTTTTCCTATAAATTATAATTAAGAATAAGTGGTTCTTTATTCGCCCTACACCACAAGTTAATGAGGAATGAGGAGCACACAACACAAGATAAATAAATAATAACTCTGTACTATACTATCTCTATACAATCTCTAACTCTATAAAGTTCGTCTTATCAACGCTCACACTTGATGCAAAATGTTAACAATTTAATGCTGTCACTTAACAGATGTATAACATGTATAATTGGTAACAAAAAACCCCTTCATCTACCCTTCCTAAAGGATCAAAACAGGGTGATACAAAATAGTATCAAAGTGCCCAAGATTTAAGGGCAGAGAGGACATTTAATGACACTAAACAGTTAAATAATAGCTCTTAATAATAATAATAGACAGAACACATTCAAACAAAGACACAGCTCTGGGGCTTCCTCTGCTTATTAGTGTCAGCTCCCGGCTTCGATCATGATGGTCCACAGGTGGAAACAGTCAGAAAGTCTCCCAAACTGTTCATAGATACCAGCTGTGACTCCACACTACATTAAAGGTCCTGAGTCACATTTAGAGGAATGTAGCCATGGGACACAGAAAGAGATCTCCCCGGAGAGAGGCGACCGATAACAGGAAACTAGGAGCCTCTGCCAAACAGCAGTGTTTGCTCATTCCTGCCTACACACAAACAGACACACACACAGACACACACACAGACACACACAGACCATTTCAATACCCCCCTGTTAACGGTTATAATGCACAGTTATTTCCGGACTAAAAGCAGCTACTTTTTTTAATGAGTTTTGATCTTGGCTGCTAATATATGCATTTTTATTGTGGTTGAGGTGAACCTTCTTGCTGTGAATCACAAGCGCTAACCACTGCGCCGCTGATTTGAGCTGTTAAACACCTAATCATTAAATTATGTTCTGACGAGTTAAAACAGTCTTTCTGCTACATTACAACATGAAAACCGGCGCATTATCTTCAAGTGTGGCCTAAACGTGGACAAAATGTATATTATTTTTAAATTAAGCAGGTTATATACAGGTGTGCCTTATAGACCAGACAGTACAGCCTATATTTGCGCAACCAAGGCTTTACTGGTTTTTGTTTGCTTGCCTCAGAACTGGTTCCGAGCTTCAGAAACTCAAGGTGTCACCTGCGGCGGCAGCGGCAGCAGCACTAGCAGCAGCACTAGCAGCAGCACTAGCAGCAGCAGCGTCAAAAGCAAAACTTCGACGGAGGAACAGGTACCGAAAGCGGAGGTAAGAAACGGAGCCACCAGCGTCAGCAAGAAGCGGGGACAGAAGGCCACAGAGCTCCCCCTGGTGGCCTCATCTCCCTTAACAAACAATGACGCTTCAACCACCACCCAGAGCTCTTCCTCCTCCGACGACGACAGCCCCTCCTCCACGCCACCGCGGTCTCCGGAGGTATCGGAACCCACGAACACATCACCCAATGCAGGTCAAGAACACCCCACCGACACCACCTCATCCAGCAAACGAAACAAACCTGCAAAGCTGTCTTTACCGGTGTAACGTGCGCTTTGCCTGACGGAGGTGCCAGCGGGAATGCTTTTTAATAATCTATTGTCAGGAAACGACTTGCTATGTCTCCATGACGATGTGGAGAAAGACCATTGTTATTATTATTATTATTATTAATATTATTATTAGCTTAAGTACAGACACATATTGGTATGACAAGACTCTATGGATTCAACAATTCTGTATTTGTTTCTTCATTCCACATGGTCCTGTTTTTGTCCGTCAAAAAACAGTAACATTTAAAGGGGACATAAGGCAAGGCAAGGCAAGGCAAGTTTATTTATATAGCACAATTCATACACAAGGCAATTCAAAGTGCTGAACAAAACAAGAAAGCATTAAAATCATAAATTATCACAGAACATTAAAAAGAAAGATAAAAATATAAAATCCCTCAGTTGTATGCACAGTTAAACAGAACCGTCTTTAACCTGGTTTTAAACATTGTCAGAGAGGAGGCCTGTCTCACATCTTCAGGAAGACTGTTCCAGATTTTAGCAGCATTAATCTGAAAAGCAGCCTCCCCATGTTTAGTTCTGACTCTGGGCACTAACAGGAGTCCAGTCCCTGTGCTCCTCAGAGTCCGGGCTGGTTCATATGGGACTAACATGTCACTAATATATTTTGGTGCGAGGCTATGGAGAGACTTGTACACAAGCAGAGCTGTTTTAAAGTCTATTCTCTGAGCCACAGGAAGCCAGTGCAGAGACCTGAGGACTGGACTAATGTGGTCGTACTTCCTGGTTCTTGTCAGGACTCGAGCTGCTGCATTTTGAATGTACTGCAGCTGTTTTACAGCCTGTTTGGACAGACCTGTGAGCAGGCCATTGCAGTAGTCTAACCTACTGGAGACAAATGCATGGATAAGAATCTCCAAGTCTGCTTTAGACACTATGTTTTTGATCCTGGCAATGTTTTTTAGATGGTAAAAAGCTGCTGATGTTACTGATTTGATGTGGCTTTTAAAATTTAAGTCTGAGTCCAGTATTACCCCTAGATTTCTGACCTTGTTTGAAGGTTTTAGGGAGAGAGACTGTAGGTGACAGATGACGCTCTCTCTTTGTTTCTGGGGACCAAAGACAATCATTTCAGTTTTGTCTGCGTTTAGCTGAAGGAAGTTGTTTTGCATCCACTCACTGATCTGTTGGATACAGTGAAGGAGTGAGTCCACTGGTCCATGTTCTCCTGCAGTCAGTGAGACATAGATCTGAGTGTCGTCTGCATAGTTATGATAGGAAACTTTGTTTCTGCGTATTAACTGACCTAACGGCAGCATGTAGAGATTGAACAGAAGAGGTCCCAGGATCGACCCCTGTGGGACTCCACAGGTCAGGGCCATATGATCTGAGACACAGTTTCCAATCTCCACAAAGTACTTCCTGTCTTCAAGGTAAGACCTAAACCAACTTAGGGCGGTGCCAGTGACGCCAACCCAGTCCTCTAGTCTCTGTAAGAGGATCTCATGGTCGACGGTGTCAAAGGCAGCACTTAGATCTAACAAGATTAAGATTGAGACTTTGCCTGCGTCAGTGTTCAGCCGGATATCGTTTGTAACCTTAACGAGAGCAGTCTCAGTGCTGTGGTGGGGTCTAAAGCCGGACTGAAACATATCAAATGAGTTGTTGATTATAAGAAATCTAGTAAGCTGTAGGTAGACAACTTTCTCAAGGACTTTCCCCATAAATGGCAGATTTGAGATGGGACGATAGTTGTTAAGTACAGTGGCATCCAGACTGCTCTTTTTTAGCAGGGGCCTGATGACTGCAGTTTTTCAGGGCCTTTGGGAATATTCCAGAATGAAGGGACATGTTTACTATCTGTGTGAGTGAAGGTAACAGACTGCTCAGAACAGACTTCAGAAATCTAGTGGGTAGTACATCCAGGCTGCATGTGGAGGAGCTCAAACTGGAGATTATCTCTTGGACAGTTTTATCATTTACAGGTGCAAAGTGAGTTAGCTCAGAGAGCCTTTCTGGTTGTTGGATGGTTATCTGTGGATTGGAGACAATGGCGCTTTTGATGCCTTGAACCTTGTCATTGAAAAAATTAGCAAACTCATTGCATTTACGTTTGGAAGTAAGCTCTAATGGCATTTGAACAGGGGGGTTTGTTAATCTATTAACTGTTGAAAACAGAACACGCAGATTGTTGCTGCAGCCTTCAATCATTTCAGAAAAATACCTTTCTCTCGTACTACGTAGCACCCGGTTAAACTCGCACAACTTATCTTTGAAGATCTCGTAATCTACCTGGAGGTTGGACTTGCGCCACTTCCGCTCGGCCCTCCGGCACTTTCTCTTTTGTGCCCTGACCGAGTCTGCTTTAGCCCACGGCGCCTTCTGCTTATTTTTCACTATTTTAACCTTCACAGGGGCAACGGTATCCAGAACATTCAAAACACTAGAGGTGACAGAGTTAAACAGTTCATCTACAGTAGAATACGATGCATTCTCAAAGTTTATCATTTCCATAAATAGTTCACTCGTATTTTCATTTATGCGCCTTCTTCGAACAGTTGCAGAGTCCACTGGTGGTTTGTTAGTGAAACACATGTCAAAAAAAACACAGAAATGATCCGAAAGAGCAACATCGACCACGTTTACATTTGAAATAATCGCCCCCTTTGTAACTAACAGATCTAGAGTGTGCCCTCTGCTGTGGGTGGGGCCACTTACGTGCTGAGTGAGATCAAAGGATTCAAGTACAGAACTCAGCTCATTTGCATTTCTGTCATCAACATTATCCACATGAATATTAAAATCACCTGTAATAACCAAACTATCAAAATCTGTGCATACAACTGAAAGCAACTCGGTAAAATGATCAATAAAACTGTGACATGACTGCGGTGGCTTGTATAGGACAACGAAGAGTATTGGAGGAGATTGTTTTTGTTGTATTTTAAAAGACACATATTCAAATGACGAAAACTTCCCAAGAGACATTCTATGGGAGACAAAGTGGTCTCTGAAAATGGCAGCTAAGCCTCCTCCTTTTTTGTTTTCCCGTATTTCAGATTCAAACTTGAAATTTGGTGGTGATGCTTCTATTAAAACTGCATTTTCTGAATTTTGGTCAAGCCAAGTTTCAGCCATGAACATAAGATCAAGATTATGAGAAGAAATAAAATTATTGATTAAAAAAGACTTGTTACAAAGAGATCTGACATTAAGCGTAGCAAGTTTCAAAGTTTCAGTATCAGCGGTTGCGGTCGGCTGATTCTTACACGGAACAAGAATTAGATTTTCCAGATTAGACTGATTAACTCCAGATGTTTTTCTGTAATGTATTCTTTGTGTTATCACTAAGGGAATGGCACAGGTGGCTTCATGACAGGGCCCCAGCCGGGTCTCTCCTCTAACTAGACTGCCAGTGGCTGCGAAGCAGAGACCCTGTGCATCCTAGTGTTTAGAGAAAAGAGGGGTAGGGGAAGGCGGGGGAGGAGGATGGAGAGGTGGGTGGCTTTTGGGTGTTGAACGAGGGGGGCAGGGAGGTGGAGGGGTTTTAGGTGATGGGTTAGGGCCGGGGTGGGCTGAGGCAGAGGTTTTGGATGTTGAACGAGGGGGAAGTGGGGGTGGAATGGTCATGAGGTTAGGGGAGGGACTTAGGGGAGGTTAGGGGAGGTGGTTTTGGAGGTACATATGGGGAGTGGTTTAGAATGTTGGACAGGACTCTAGATCGAGCTAATATGGGTGTGAGAGGAATAGTCTTCATCGCCGATTTTATTAGCCCTGCAGAGTGTTCAGGTAGGTCTAACAGTGAAGGCGGGGATGAAAAACAAAGGGAGGTGTCCCCATTCTCTCTTGATGGAGTGGACGTGGCAGGGGGGACCCAAGACAGGTCCTTGGGAGGTGGCGAGGGAGTCTTTAATGGAGGGGCAGGTGGTTGAGGAAACCCCAGCACAGGCCTGCTGCTAAATCGACAGTTTACAGGTATAGTTGCTTTCTCGTGTCGTTGAAACCATTTTTTGTTTGAGCAGAAGAGACACACTCCCGCTGTTTGTTCTTACCTTGCTCATTTTCTTTTCTGAATTGGTGGGTTGTTTTCTTGAAGAGGGAATCAAACCTGCTGATAGCTAACTTAATCTGCAGTTTATTGGGAGCCTTTTGATGTGTCCATGTTTCTTATGCTCTTTTAGGCCATTGGAGTGTATGGAGTAGAGCCAATATAACGCATACAGCCAAACAGTGGGAGTGTGTAAGGAAATTTGCTTACTTTTGGATTTTTTAACATTATCATTGACTAAACTGTATTAAATCAATATTGAGATTTCACTTATACTAGTAATACACACATTTAATCCACAAATCTGCATCAAAAAGCATGTTATGTCTGCTTTAAATTCACTTTTGACCCCCCAATCCAGGAAGATATTTTTGCCTACTTCTTTCTGGACTGTTTTTTGTTTTCTAATGACTGTGTTTTAATTCACTCACTTATTGCCGTGGTTCTTTTAACGCCTCTCCTACACATACAGTGAGTGGTCGATTACTGTGTTTTGTTGCATGTGTAATATTGCGTATGATTTTGCTTTCCACTCATTCATTAATTTTTTCCTTAGGCTACAATTTCAGTCAGTCACCATCTTCCCCCCCATAGGTGTTTTTTTCTTTTCCTGTAGCAAAGTCAGTTTTAGTAGCAATCTATTTGACAGCTAAACTTGTCAAAAAAAAATATGTACACAGATCTAATACACTGAAATCATTATATAAGAGTCGATAAATGTATATGTTTGGATAGTATATTACGCTATATGGTGATTTTAATATAGATGATAAGCCTTTGTTCTGTCTGAGAGGGTCTGGAAGAGAGTAACGTTGGGACAGAGCCAAATGTTTTGTAAGAAGTATGTTGCACCATTGAGCACAATCAGATGAGGTGATATTTATTAAGGCCACAATACCTGGCTACTGCTTGAGCTTGAATCAAAGATAAAGAAAAAAGTATATTTTATGAAATATTGATAAAGTTTTATGAATCACAACATCTGC